CCCACGCCAGACTGCCTATCGTGGTCCTGTCGTCACGCCCCGGGTTCTCTGTGCCGGTATCTTCTGCTCTGATCTGGTGTAAAATACGCCTGCTAGCCTTGGGCCACACCAAGTTAATTTCTTCATTCTTGGAAATTTAAAAGTGAAAACAAAGTAGGAAAACTTGCAGGAAAACTTGAAACTAACTTTATTCACCCCCTGAAATTGTGTGCATCGAGACACAAGTCTTTTACTTTGCCATGCTGATATTCTAGATCAAAGACTTGTTTAGGGTAGGGGCTTCAAGCAACAAAAGAGATAAATTTTGCCTCATCAGAATCACGCCCCCTCTCACCGACGACTTTTATAGACTGTTAGCCAAACTCTTCGACCATTTCTCACATCACAGAACATATTGCTCACGATTAACTCCTAATCGTGGTCTGTGGAAGGTTGAGTGATCATTTTCAGAGGTTTGAAACAGATAAAATTCTGGTTAACCAGGACCACGCCCCCCTCCCCCTGTCCTGTCGTATCTCTGTCAGCAGGATCTGATTTTAGCCGGTTCCATTCCGGACGCGGGAAAAACCGTCTGCCAGCCGTGACGTCATCACCAAGGACACCAGATCCCGGGACTGATAAATCCTGACACGGAAAAAACTCACTGACGAAAAGTTGTGGACGCTATTTTGAAAAGTAAGGCAGTTTTCAGAATAATACAGTATCCTAAGTAAAACTCATTTCCTGGATGTCTAACCTTAACCGACGTAACACAACAAGTTTGGAAACAGTCGATGTATTGTAAAGCTTTGGAGATTAGTTGACCGGGTGCTATTAAGGGTTGTTGACCTCAGCCCCCCCCCCTCCTCACGGATGTACCTGTACCAGACAGGTGTTTATAAATCCTTCTCACCTGTCCAGTTTAACCTTCACGCTCCCACAGGTCAAGAGTCGATAGAATAACATAAACATAAAGTCACAAATTTGTAAAGCTAAAAACAAGTATCATTTGCTATATTTGAAAAACAATGTAACGTTACCAAATTGTAAGATAGTAAGATGTGGTAAACAACAATATGAGGAAAAAAACACAAAAGCTAGACTTAAGAAGTTCAGAAATAAATGAATGATTGAAATATTGTGTTACTGAACCACAACTATCTTTAGAAACCACGTCCGTCATGATACACTTTTCCCACGGTCTTATCTGTACTAAACACCTGAACTTGTGCAGAACACACCTGGTTTGGATAATTTGACTGTTCATGCTTCAGAGAGAAATACAACATGTATATAGGTAGGTTTTATGTCTGTAATTCGGAGTGCATTGTTCTTGCTCAAAGAACGTAATATACTGTCTGTTTCAAACCTGTTTATGTTTATATTATGGTTGAAGTTGGAAACAAATATCTAACATAGAGTAACGGATTTTCGCTTACTTGAGAAAAAGCAACAAGCAGATACAATCTTAAAATCGTGTTCTTTCAAGCGTCTACTCTTAAAGTAACATTTTCATGGGAGGTTGAAATATTGTTCTTCGGCAGATACATGTTAAAGTGGTGTGAAGGTTAGACTGACTGTAGATGTAGCCTCCGTAGCAGGCTTATAGAACTGGGGGTCTTCCTCTTCGGCTGTTTTCTGATTAGCCCAGTTCTAAAACGGGGGTAATTCAACCAGGCCGGCTATGTTGTCTATATGCAATCAGAAAATAGCACATAAAAGCTCCCAAACACCCTGAAAACCCCGGTTTTTGGCATATTATGGACGCTACTATACACGTGACTATCTAAACTCTGTTGATATCACCGCCATCTTGGTTACACCATACACTTAGCTTCAGTCTGTGTAGCAAGGCCGATTCTTATCTTTGCAATCTAGCTCAATAAATCTTGGACTTTCCCACGTATTACCCGTCTGTGGTACACAGAAAGGACGCGAAGGCGTCTCTGGGAGGAAATTTTTAATCTGTCGGGCGTTTTTACAAACATTCCTGTCTGCTTAACAATGCCTACAACTGTCCGAATGAGTTTCGTCCTGATATTGGTGTAAACCTAACATATGTTCTCTCTAGGTGTGTTATAGCGATATCGCTCACACAAGCGATTTTTTGTGAAAGAAACCTCGAATTTGTAGGCTATTTCCACGATCAATTTAGATAGGGATGGAAACTACTATACAATATTTCCACGGGCAATTTGCAAACATTTCTCGTTAAATGTGCCATATAATTATGATATTCTTTTCACGAATTGAATTTCTCACATTAAATCATATCAGCACATAGCGGTATAACCTGTTCTTTAAGACAAGGCAAGCAAAGGTTGGGTTTTTTTCCCGATAAAAAAGCCTAAAGCACGCCTAAATTAAGCCAAAACCCAAACCTCTGCTTGGAGAGTAGTATACCCGACCATATGTCCGCGCCAAGCGTGTAAACTGTTAATGTTGTAACTCCTGCCATTAGATGTGCAAAGACAGAGTGTAACAAGTCGTTCGGTATGATATAGCTAGCTGCCGCCGCGCCGCGTGCCTGCGAAGCCGGTATATTATGCCAAAGAGTGGTTATACCGGCTATACAGATACAGACACAGATACAGACCTAACTCTATCCACACCAGTATACCCGCCCATATGTCCTCGCCTGGCGTGTGAACTGTAGTCCCGCCGGCTAGCCGCGCGGCCCGCCTGTGTTGTGGTTTCCTCCCGGCTAACTGCCGCCGCGCCGCGTGCCTGCGAAGCTGGTGTGTTATGCCAAGGGGCGGTTGTACCGGCTATCTGGAGCAGTGGGCCGACAAAATATGATGATGATGATGACCGGCTATCCTAGGAATTTTGTCGGTCTTACTCCTTACAAGACCATGAAAGAACTTCATCTACACCATGTACTTATTCTTGGTTTGCGCTTAGAGCGTCTCAGTTCTGATACGAGTCTCTGTTCGCATATTCGCATCGGCTATACCGATACAGGTTCAGACCTAACCCTATGCACAGCGGTATAACCTTAATCTCCAACCAGATCCCTTTCGGTGGCAAAAAGACAGTATCAAATTGACCAGGCAGTATCCATTAGCCAGAGAAGGTCCGTACCCACCGACGGTGGGGATAGCGACAAAAAAAACGGCCATATATAAAAAGGTAACGATCATTCCCCCACAACCTCTGCTTGGAGAGTAGTATAACCTTGCCATATGTCCTCCCCTAGCGTGTGAACTGTAGTCCCGCCTGCTAGCCGCGCGGCCCGCCTGTGTTGTGGGTTCCTCCCGGTCTTGATTAAAATGCTCAGCGGAGCCGAACCGTGACCTTGGTGCCACGGGAACACCTGTACCGTGCAGGTGAGACAGGAAACACCCTCCGGGAATAAAAATCCGTGTTTTGGTTTCTTAAATGTCAGTTCTGTGCAGAGGGGAAGGTTCGTTATAGAACATGCAAGCTTACGGACTGAAACTTGTTTTGCTTTCTTAAATGCTAGTTGTGTAAAGAGGGAAGGTCCGTTTTATAATTTAGAACATACGAGGAGTTCCTTTTTACCACAAAATGAATGTAGCCCGGCAGTACCTACTATATTGTTGTCTAGAGTTCTCATATTTTCTTGCCAAGTTTGCGAAAAGCTGTGTAGGCAATAGTTGAACGTAGCCTGAAGCTTGTAGACCCAGGTCACTCTAACTTCGTTATCCCTGACGTAAAAGGACATCATTGATGTATTTATTGTGCTGATTATGGCTGGGGAGGGTGGGTCATTACTCGGGTGACTGGAGCTGTGGTACAGATAAGGGAAATCTGCACAGAACAACTGTCACTACAGCTTTCAGCACGGGCGTTTGTCACTGATAATAGGACTCGGATTGGGCCACGCCGAGTTAGTGTGTTGGTTTGTGGTTTAGAATGATGTAGAGCTGAAAAAGATCGAGTAACGTTTGAAACTTGGTTCACAGTTTCAGCAAGGACTTTTCCCTAAAACATCAATGGAATGTTAAGTCTTATTAGGTTGAAAATGAAGCACATTACATAGTAACTCTATACATTTAGAAAAGCTTGAAGTTAAAGTAAAAACCACACACACATCGATAGGGTGCTGACATTGTTTTGTTGAAGATGTCGACATTTGTTACGTAACATCGGAACGGGCGAAGGAGCGTTGCCGGCTTGACCAAACAGTTGTTGGACGTTTATTTACCGGTTCTTGTCTGGAAGGTGACGCTATCAGAATGTTCCGACAGGAAGGAGTTGTGGTGGCCGCAGGGTCGGAACTAATTAATATCAAACCCAGATTGCTTCACACGTCTTTCTCTTTCTCCCTCTCTCTCTCTCTCTTTCTCTCTCTTCTCTCTCTCTCTCTCTCTCTCTCTCTCTCTCTCTCTCTCTCTTTCTTTCTTTCTTTTGAGCGTGTTCTTTTTTTTTAAAAGGCGTGCGCCTGTTTGATGTATAAAAGTTGACCGCAAAGCCCACCATGAACTAAAAATGCACAATCGGACTTACCCAACGCCTGCGCGTTGAGATGCATATAAAATGCTAGAGATGTAAGCCAGCATGTTCGTGTCTACGTTAGCGGCAATAGTACGTGATTTACAGTCGTGATTAGCGCGTCTGAACTCCCGTCACTCACCCCGGCACAGGCCTGACGGAAAAACGCCATGTACTTGACATTGGTAATGACCAGATGGTGCGCTAACGAACCTTCAAGCAGAGGTGGGGTCGTGTGGCGCAACGGCAGAGTGCTCGACTCGGAACGAAGAGGTCCCGAGTTCGAGTCCTGACATGCCACCGATCTTGTGCCCTTGGGAAAGGCACTTTACACGACCTTCCCCACTAGACTCAAGTGAAAATGAGTACTAGTATTGTCTGTCCTGTATTTGTTTCTATGTCCATTGCAAATCCATGCCCGAAGGCTAATTGCAAGTTGCATTAAAGAACTCTGAAACAGAGTATAAAATAACTTTAAAATGTACATACTAGTAATGAAATCTAAAACTATTGCTATGTCTAAAACTATATCTGACACCCTCTCTGTTTTCGTTCCCTTCCAGTTGGCGACACGACGTCCCCCATGGCTCAGCGGAACTTCCCGCCTTCCTTCTGGAACAGCGCCTACCAACCCCCCACCTCGTCCCTCACCTCCCCCACCCCGACCCCCTCCACCCCTACACCGACCCCTACCACCCCCACACCTCGGCGCTGCACTCCCACCACTACAACCCCGACCCCTGGCACCCTTACGCACTGGGGGCGTCTTCTCAGTCGTCATACCACCAACCTATACACCACGACATGTACAGGTAAATACAGCCTTACTCATATATACTTATACAGGCAAATACAGCCTTATATATACTTATACAGATAAATACAGCCTTCCTTATGTATTATCCTACACCAACCTATACACCACGACATGTACAGGTAAAGAGATCATGCTTTGCTTTGTCGTAGATACACATTACATGTGTAGATGCACAACTGAGAAGTCTTAATTAACTTATCGTCGTATCAGGAATATTTCTGTTATACCCAGTGACTAAGTGTATATGTCCTCGAAGAGTTGGAGCTGTTTAATGTGTGTAAAGGCAAAACCTTTCTTCCAACACAAAAGGTTCTCCCCTAGAGCTTTCGACCAGTCACTCTGGTCTTTCTCAGTAGACTGACCCAGTGAGGCTTGTCACGTGGCTTCTCTGAGGAAGACCAGAGTGACTGGTCGAAAGCTCTACGTAAGACAACTTTTAGCTTTTGTGTTGTTTTCATGTATTCGTTTAGCCATTCGTATGTAGGCTCCCATAATCGCATTAGGGAGCGAGTATGGGAGCAATAGGATGGCAACCAGGCTAGTAGTCGTTCATTCATTCAACAGAAGTCGAATCTCTTTCCTTCCTTCCTTCCATCCTTCCAGCATGGCGAGTTCGTCGCACTTCAACCCGCGCTACTCGTCCCTGCTGATCCAGCCCACCGTGCGACCGGGGCGGCTGCCGGCGGTGCCCGGGCAGTGCGACCTCGGCAAGCCCGACTCCGCCTGGACACGGCCGTACGGCGCCGACCAGATGGGCACCGACTTCCCGGGGCTAGCTACTGATAGAAGTAAGTCTCGTTTATGTCTTTCCTTACCTTAGTGGTAAGCACATTAGACAGCAAGGTTCCACCTGGGTCTAGCGGCTGCTGCTTCCTCAGCCTCCGTATCTTGTAATTGTTGGGTACCCCCCCCCGTTAGAAAATTTGATGTGTGCCGATCAGGTGGGTACAGTTCCTAGGGCTCGTCTTGGTTACCCTTGGGTCTGTTTGTATGCTTGCTTGTGTATACGTACTGTTGAGTGGCAGGGGAAATTATCTAACCACAGACCACAAAAGATCAGTTCCCTTGGCTAGCCGCCAATAGAAGTAAGTCACGTAAATTGCATCACAACACACCTGGGTACCATCTTACAAAAGTTGATATGTACCAAGTAAGTCAAAAGTGTCAACAATGTCGCCATCACCCACTTAAGGCTTGTTCACAAACCAAAGCTTTCTGTATATAGACTACTAGGCCTATGAAAACCACGTCGGACTACTAGTATCTATTGGACCACCGGAGTCTGTGTCTGTGGCCGCTTAGTGGCCAAAGTTTTGACAGTTCAAGCTCTGTTCCCACCTTGTTTCTGGTTCTGAAATCACAAGTATTTGCTCGGAAGTCCTTAATAGCTCCATGGTTGATGCTCAGAGTCTGTGGCAAATATGTGGCAAAATCGCAGAGAGAACGTAAGGCAACACTTTTAGCAATGTTAACATGGGCGCGTAGCTCTTTTCGCTCCGCTTGTCTATGGTTCTGAAATCACAAGTATTTGCTCGGAAGTCCTTAAACGCCCCACGGTTGATGCTCAGAGTCTGTGGCAAATATGTGGCAAAATCGCAAACACTCCAGATCCGTACTTGACCCTCTTGACCCCCAGTCACCAGGCGATAGTTTCCACCCGTACGGAGTAAAGTACTGTGTTGATAGCTCAAGTCCTGGCTAACGCTACACTGGCAAGTGACTTGTATAAACGTTGATGCCTTGGCTATTTGATGTCATAAATGCAATGTATAAATCCAGTTTTAAGGCTTGAAGTGGTTTTTAAGTGACCAAAATATACTCATACTTTGGGTATTTAAAACTACAGAAACAAGCCCCAATATGAGTCCTTTATTTTTTGGGTGGTACCGTAAAAATCAGCCCTGGGCTCTTCCAGTAACCATTTTCCGTCAGAATTTTGGGAATTTATGCTCCATGCTCCAATATACATTGGGATGGTGTGGTTTCAACTCAGTATGTAGATAAATGCCTAGAATATTGGCTTTGAAAAATCGGGTTTTCAAACCCTAAAAACTGCACTTAAGGATGCCTTTAAGGGGGCTTCCCAACCGCAATGTATTCTGAGTGCCAAAAGAGACTAGTGGAATGACAACACACGCTCCTAAACATCTTCAGGAATGCGGCAGAAGGGGTTTCCCCGGGAATTTGTGGTTAAGGCGAGGAATTTCTGGTGCTGATGGACGAAAATTCCGCCCGTCTTGAACTTGACCTTCCTTCTTTCCCGCGGTTTGTCGCCCCACAAGCCGCAAAACACGGAAACTCCAAGTTCAAACAATTCACAACGTTCGAAATTTCAAGAATGTTTCACTGCCAAATTCTTCTCTTTTCAACATCGTGCCTTTATCTTGGAATAATAAAAACAAACCATTCTTAACCTCAAAATAAAAAGACTAGCTGTTTAAATACAACCTGGGTTATCTTTCCCTTACTTGATTTTTGTGCAAAAACAAACAAAACAACGTTTGAAATTTCAAGAATGTTTCACTAGCAAATTCTTCTCTTTTCAACGAGTCTTTGTAGTTAAAAGCAAACCATTCTTGGCCTCAAAATGTAAATACTACCAGTGTAGGTTCAAATACAGCCTAGGTTATCGTCCCTTACATACTTTTTGTTCAAAAACAAACAAAACTTGACGGCAGATTGTTGCACCTCGCTATATTTATAGTATCCACATTCCAGGGAAACCCCCTCCGTATGACGCAGTAGCGTAAGCAAAGAGGCATCCCCCGGAATGTGTCAAACAATATTTCTGGCTTGAAAGAAATCTCCAGGTCAGGATTCCTCGCGTTCCTGTCTTTACCTTCCCCAGCCATAACAGGGCTTAAGCATCCCAAAACTGCCGCGAACTTGAATCGACGCTATGGGATAAGTATTCGGAGCTATGCGGGGCGGTATTCGTCGGACAAGGGGTGATCCGAATTCGTGAAATAGTTGAGGCGAACTCGGGAGTAAGTCGCCCAACTTTGTAGCGGTGACAATCGTCCGGCATGCAGACCCTCTGTCAGAGGAATGCAAAAATATGTAGGGATACAGGAGGGTCTAAAGGGGGGCTCCCTCCAGGAATGCGGAGTTTGACAACAAGACTCGGGTACAACTTCGTGAAGAATGCGCGCGCCAGGATGGGTTGGATTCCTGACGGGGTGAACTCTGACCGTTGCCGTGGCGACGGACGATGTCGTCGTTAGCGACCCCTCAGACCTTGGCGTGGGGAATTTTGGCGGGAAAAAACGTGGTACGTCGCAAGAATGTCGGATAATGTCGTATGGCATGCCCGGTATTGTATGAATGACATTTTTCTGTCAAGTTAGACTCGGGCACAATTCGATTCGTGCCATTGCCAGCAACTTGAGCAAGGCTAGGAAGGACTTCGACTATCTTTTAAAAACGGAAACGATGTTTGGAAACGGCCGAAATACATATAATTTTGGTCAATTTTCGAGGACGCATTATTTCTTATTATTATTATTTCGAGGACGCATTCAAGACTTTACTACGAATATCGGTTCTATTATCTGGATAATACCCGGTGTTGGAAGTGTGGCGTTCTCACTATTGTAGAATAGACCACAATAAGCCTTACATGTGTCGAACGGTTTTCAGCAAGGTTACGTGACAGAACCAAGGACTGTCGAAATGGTGGAATTTTCAAAAGTGTTACCTGCGTCTCGTTCCCGAGATAAAACGCACCAGTCCTGCGTCTCGTTCCCGAGATAAAACGCACCAGTCCTGCGTCTCGTTCCCGAGATAAAAACGTGCCAGTCTCTCTGAGAAGCCGTTTAGTTAGTGTCACTTTGCTGTCAATCATTAGGAGGAAAGGAATTCAATTGAAAAGATCCCTGCCTTTTCAAGTTATCCTTTATTGTGTAAAGAACTATCAAAATTTAAGGCGTATCTTTTCTTCCTTGATTTCTTCGGAGAAGACGACTAAATCTTTGTAAAGAATTATTCCTTGCTCTTTCTGACTTTCGTCTTCCCTATACAGTTTAGGGGCATCGGTTGAAGACCTGCTTGGGCGTCTTTCGTCTTCATCTAAATTCTAAATCTATCTTGTCCTGTGTCTTATCAAGTTGTTTTTGAGGTCCTTTTAAGTAGTCTTTTGACGCCTCCAACTGTCTTATTTCGTCTTTCTTCACAGGTTTAAGGCGTCTCCTTCTAACTCTGTCGCGGTATTAATTCAAGGGCCTGGGGCATTTCGACTCCATCTCTTTGTCTTCTACATTCTTACCACGTTTTTTTAACGAGTTTGTTGACTCCATCTACCTGTTTTGTTAATCCTTAAAACGTTAAGTCCTTTTAACAAGTCTTTTGACTCTTTATGTCTTCTTCCTTTCTACCACGTTATTTCCTTGTCTTAAAGAAGTCTTTTAACTTCTTCTAACTCTTTTTTCTTAAAATACCAAGATGCTTCGAATTCCTTTAAGTCTTTTGAAGAAATCTTTCGACTCCTTCTAACTCCGTCTTGTTCGTTCGTCCCAGGTCTGGAGCATCACGGTCAGGAGTCTGCAGTCAGCAAGGACCTGTACTGGTTCTGAGACATCCCGCAGCTGGACACAAACACGCCCCACCCCCTCGGGACATCCCCCTACCCCCACGGGACACCCCAACCGGAACCGAACCGGCCAGATTATCTCAAGGAGCCTCTCCGTTATCTTGAGACGTCCAGACATAAGTGATAAGACGCAGCCAAGACGGAGGGTAACAAGGGAATTCCGCATCGGAAAGACGGCGTCGCGTTCAGTTTAGGATGAGGAAAACCACGCGCGGATTTTTTGGAACACAAACAAAGAACGACGTGGGAAAAAAACATAAGATCGTCTGACTGGAGGCGTCGCCATGGGAACCGCAGAAATGGCGGGAATTACGTCATTCGTTAGGACTTGGTGATGATGATGATATTGTCGTGTGATTCCGAAAACAAAACGAGCTCAGGTTAGTTTGCGTGACTGTGTTCTTGCGAGAATGCAGAAGATTTTGTGTGGCAGATTAATTTGATTGCGTTTAATGAGGCTTTTTTTAATTAGAAGAGAGAGGAGAAGCAGAAATTAGAGCCGCTCCCGATATAGACGTAACAGAAGCCGAAAAAGAGACCACAAGCCGTCAGATAAAAGCCCCCGTAACCCAAGCATGGTGATAAGGAACTGATAGTGCCCGTCACTCATCAGGCAGGCGCCTGTCAGGGGTCTGGGGTCTTCGTCACCATGGTGACGGTGTTCTATAGCCGTCATCACCATGGTGACGGAGTTCTATTGTCGTCAGATTGGAACGTCTTGTGGCAGAATTTTGAAGGACGAACTTCGGAAAAAAAAGTTGAAAAGGAAGGCCGAAAGTATTCATTTTCAAACAAAACAAAAGATGCATAATTAAGTATTTTGGTATTGTACTTAATTTCTAAATTATGTATGTTTTAAAGAAAGAATTTCGCAAACTTGGTTGGTTCCGAGTGGAAAAGTCTCGACATTTCTAAACCTGTTCATTTCTGTTGAACACCACCGAGGGATGCTTTAAGTATGAAGAAAATGTTCAGTGATAAAAAACTTAAGTTGTACCGACTGTCTGAAGAATACTTTAAGAAGTAGAAACCCTTGATGACTCTAAGATTCCGCTGCTTGCATGTATTTTGGATATATATATATGATATTGTGTGCAGTTACTTCAGCGGTATTTCTTTACCCTTGTGTTTTTTCAAGAGGAACACTGGTACCAATATTGTTATTATGATTAATATTATTATTTGTACAGACCATATGAATGTCATTTATTGAAAGATATGTATACTTGTCTCTAGTATATGATGCCGTGTACGTGGTTATACGGCGACTTCTCGTGCCGATATTTTTGTACAGTCGTAGCGGATATTTTTAGAACGTGTCTGTTAAAGTTGTTATCATATTTGGGTGTATATCATGATCGATATAAGTAACGAGGGACATGTGATATTTTCATCTTATTACGATGGAATTTAATTTTTGTGTATGAATTTATGAATATTAGAAGTTGTAGAAAAAATGTAGTTTAGAGTACTGCAAATTTAGTCCCTACCAGAATACAGTGGGTTACTGGAAAATAGTAGAAATAGGCCAAATGATATGCCAGATGAGTTAGCCAGCCTTGGGTTTCAAAGTGTTCTCCTATGACCGACTGACATATCATTCAGTCTATTTGGCCACTTTCTACTATTCTTTAGTCTCCACCAGACTCTTTTGCAGGCTGAATACATAGTATAAGTCGGCCTAAAAAGAATGTAGCTGGCCAGGGGAGCTTGCCTCCAAACTGGACCCTATATGGACCCTAAGTTACATTCTTTTTAGGCCGATTTCTACTATTTTATCCAGCCTGCAAAAGAGCCTGGTGGAGGCTAACTATTCTTCAGCAACCCATGGTAGCCTGGTAGAGACTATAGACTAGTAGTGCGAGGTATTTCTTTCTCCTGTCGTTGTAAATTTAAATCTGGATGCACCCTCAGCTGTCCGTAAGCTCCTCTGTTTACCGTGTCGGTATTTTGGGCGACAGCGGGCGGGGCGGCGCGGGCCTCGGTATGTCCGGCCGCGACGCAAATATCGCCACCTTCTCCTGTCACTCAACCCAGCCCGCCTGAGAATTTTAATCGGCAATTTTACCCAGTCTTTAGCTTGCGTTTCCAGCCTCCATACCGTCTCTCTCACGGTATCAAGTTGTTGTATCTGCTTGTTCGGAATTTCCTTTTTGTTTTTCTTCATCTTTTGTTTGTTTCTCTCTCCAAACTACCTCATTTTACCATGCGCACACAACAACGACGCTTAAGGGTATCCAGTGCGATTTCAGGGCAGCAAAACTGGAAATATTCTGAATAAGGAAATCTTTATGATATTGACACATACTGCTTCACATTAGCACATTTGAGTCAGCATTTCATACTTTGGGCTTTTAAAACTCTGGTTTCCAAGCCCTAACACTGCACTGGATGCCTTTAAAATCACGATCACATCTTATATTAGCTTGTACTTGCGTTTTTTTCTGTTCGTAAAAATGACAATCCTTGACACACGTACTTAGAATTCCCTTGTGTCGCTGCTCACTTAAACCTGTCCGTCAGAACGAAAACAGGGAAGGAATTTTATCTCCCCACTTCTGTTTGTTTTCCAAGCGTGAACATGAACCAAAATATTTTCGAATATGGAAGAATGTTGATGAAATTGTAGCAGCTTCAAACGCCGGGTTCGCTTCGCGGATTAGCGGCGAGTCTTGTTTTGAAAGTTTGCGAGGTCGCGATGGTGAGAAATTGTTTTAAGTGCGTCCAATGCGATTTCAGGACAGCAAAACTGGAAATATTCTGAATGAGGCAATCTTTGTAATATTGACACATACTGCTTCACATTAGCACATTTGAGTCAGCATGTCAAACTTTGGGCTTTTAAAATTGCAGAAACAAGCCACAAGAGAAGTCCTTTATTTTATGAGTGTGGTACCCTAAAAAATCAGCCAAGGGCCCTTCCAGTAATCATTTTCCGTCAGAATTTTGGGACTTTGTCCTCCATGTGGGTCACTATACATTTTGGTAGTGTTTCAAGTCAGTATGTAGATAAGTGACTAGAATATTGGCTTTGAAAAATCGGGTTCCCAAGCCCTAAAACCTGCACTGGATGACTTTAAAAGGGTTGAAGGCCAGAGGTTTTGTAGTGTTAGGTCAAGAAACAGCGGTTAGTTGTGTTTTGCTCCGAAAATTTCTATCTACAGTTGGAATGTTGTCAGAGGAAACGATTCACGTCTCGAGTCAAAACTGAACCCGGAGGGAGCAAAAATCAACCTCCGCGCCAAATTAATCCCTCGCCGTCGGCGGCGGACTGATATCCGGCGGTAATTCGGCTGTCTGCTTGCCCGAGGCGGTAGGATACCAGCTTGGGCCACGGAAAAAACATACACATCGGCAACAACAAATTAATCTCTTTGACGTCAAACGTTAGCCTCTACTAGGCTTCGGGAGGCGGCTGGAAAGAGTAGAAATCGGTCAAATAGAGAGATAACATGCCGAGAGAGTTGGTCTCCCGATTGTTCTCTCTAGCAGACCAACTCCCCTGGCATGTTATCTCTCTATTTGGCCGATTTCTACTCTTTCCAGCCGCCTCCCGAAGCCTGGTCGAGGCTACTCTCTTAGGTCAAACTGTTCCCACGGACTTCTTGTGCGTAGGTTTCGGACAGACGAAAAGTTAAATCGAATCAAGCGGGTTGTATACTGTAAAGTGGCATGTTATTTCTGTCTATTTGGTCGATTTCTACTCTTTCCAGCCGCCTCCTGAAGCCTGGTAGAGGCTAATCGGTAGCAACAAATCTCTCTCTCTCTCTCTGACGTCAAACTGTTCCCACGGCCCTGTGTGCGTGTAGGTTTCGGACAGACGAAAAGTTAAATCGAATCAAGCGGGTTGTCTGTAAAGTCGCCTGCGGCCTTCCTGAAACTAATTCCGTGTTGTCATATCGGCAATTTTCGCGTCTCGCCTCCGCGGCGCCTGGTCCGCTCGCAAGGTGAGGACAGAAGTTGTGCGGCGTAATTTTGATGCCGAGTGTTTTCTCCGCCCCACCCTGGTGTTGTTTTACTCCCCAGGGGTGGGGTTTTGCCTCCCCAGGGTGGTGTAGTGTTACCCACGGGGAGCCCTGACCAGAGTTTGAATGAACCCAGCCTGTGAAAACCTTAGCGTCTGATCCGGATCAATTTTACTTACTTACACCCAACTTTGGGTAAACTTTAACTTACAAGCAGAGGTAGGGTGGCTCCAGTTTGTTTTCAACAAAACATTTTTACGCCCATCTTTGGCAAAAATTTAAACCTCCAAGCAGATATATAAACTGACATGTTTTCAACATTTTTAGAAGGGTCCCAAAGCAGTATGGGTAAGGATGTGAAGTCTGCCATCTCTGATTGCTTTGTGTTTTTTTAGCCTTTGCTACATGTACAGTTAGTCCAGAACAGACTATTACTGTGCATAGGCAAATTACAGTTCACAGTTTACAAAAAGCATTAACAGTTCAAAATGCTCAATAATTAAAAATTAAAACAGTTTCATGCATAAAAAAGTTACAGAAACGCTGCAGAAAACACGCAAAAACACACCAAAGCCACGCTACATATGCTTGGAGATCACAAAGTCGTACCAGTTCAAAACGTTCATTCAAAGAAAAATTGTTCCATGAATAAAAGTGTAGAAATCACCCCGAAGCCTCGCTGCATCTGCTTGAAGCTTTCCGAATTCATACTTCCGCCCTCTCTCAGCGGCTCGCCCAAACAACACTTAGGCAGGTCAAGCCTGAGTTTTACCCAGGGTCGCCGCAGTTTACAGGAGCTATCCGCGTGTTTAGCCACACCAATTACAGAACTACTCAACAAGTGCCTTTCCCAGTTAAACATGCCGCTGCCTCCTGAACTCTAACAAAAATGGCGCCTTAAGCTTTTTATAGCCTCTACCAGGCTTCGGGAGGCGGCTGGAAAGAGTAGAAATCGGCCAAATAGGGAGATAGCATGCCAGGGGAGTTTGGTCGGCTGGAGATAACAGTTTGCCGCTCCCGAAGCCTGGTAGAGTCTACCTCCTGAACTGAAAACAAAAATGGAGCCTTGTTGAAGAGAAGCCAATATTTTTTAGCCTCGATCAGGCTTCGGGAAGCGGCTGGAAAGAGTATACACTGGCCAAATTGACAGATAGCAGCGTATTTTGGTCCAAATACACAATATTTTTCAGATTTCTTCAGACTCTCATAGTTTTTCACCATCGCAAGCGACTTTCCAACAAATCTACTTGTTTCTGTTTTAATCTTTGACAATTTCTTTTCCATGTTCAAAAAACAAACGAAGAAAATGACAAATGTTTACATTCTTGGCAAGAAAATCATGCTTGTTCGCGCATGTGCACTTCGTGCCTTCTCCTAGCTTGACAACACACAGCATTCACCCCTGTCCTACGCATGCGCTAACTCTTTTTCCTAGATGTAGTTTTATCTCAATTATTTGCTGCAATGTGAGGCTGTAAAAGTCAGTTGTATGTACAAGTACTTACGTGTGATAACATTTGTGATGCTTTAGTTGAAAGCTATGCCGGTTATCTTCTTACCGAAAACCTGGTACTATGCTAAGAAAGCAGACATAACTTCTTTAACTTAAAGATATATGTACTTTCTTAAGATGTTTTTTCAGGGAAGCACGTTATGTTATTGGATTTGTAGATCGATATATAGTTTATCGATAGTTTATCGATAGTTTATCGATCGTTTGTTCCCTGAGATGCTCAACTTCTCATGACGCACGCTTTTCTGTGATGACGTCACCCTCACTGCAATAGGGCGTTTGCGCTCACGTGACTGTGACGTCATTGGTCGCCATGTTGGATGGTGAAACTCGGAACTTGCCTGATGAGAAAATGTGAATGAATTTACGTCATCATGACGTAATGCACTCGTAGATTTGAGTTTCCATAGTAACCAACCAACGTGGCGACTATGACGTCATGGTGGCTGTGACGTCACGCGCGAATGCCCATATTTGTCCCACTGAATGTATGCAATATTTAGACATGTACATATACAGGCACGGGCAGATGTAATCTGTTAAAAGTTGTTTCTCTTTCTTCGAAGAAATAAAGACGAAAGGTCTTTTGTGTCTTAAAGGAACCTCGTAATGTCTTTATTTTAAATTCCAGTGACTTGAGTGTTGATAGTAACTCTGTTGTAAGTTATACGTACGAAACAACCGTTAAATAGTATAGTAACATAGATGGGATGTAAAACAACGAAAGAACATTGTTTTACAGATATTTGTCAGGAAAAGTATGCTTAATGATAATAGTTGCTATACAAAAACACATATTCGGATGAAAGACAACAGAAGTACAAAGCTTTAAACACCACTCTAAAGGAGATTAACAAAATATAACGCAACTTTGAAACAGTAAAAAAACACGA